AGTGCTCCCCCATTTCTTCCTTTCTTTTTTTTTAAACAGGGTTTCACTATGTAGCCCTGGTTAGACTGGAACTCACTGTTTAGACCAGGGTGGTTTGCACTCACAGAGACTTGCCTGCCTCTGCCTTCCTAGTGGTGGGATTAGAGGTGTGCGCCACTAGGGCAGGGTATTTTAATGCCTTTTAGAATTTGGTTGGTAAATAATACATGCACCTAAATTTGTGAGAAATTTTCCAGTATAGTTAATACTTAATGTGTTCTTATAGCCATCAAGGTAATAGATGGTGGGAAGTATGAGCTGTGGCTGGTCAGACAGATCTGAGTGTGAATTTTAGATGTGGCATGTCCTATGAGACATCTTGCAAAGCCTAGGGTTCCTTAGAGGTAGGACTTTGGGTAATGATGGGGCCTTCTTTATTTATTTATTTTTATTTAATTTTATTTCATGTGCATTGGTGTGAGGTTGTCAGATCCCCTGAACTGGAGTTACAGATAGTTGTGAACTGCTATGTGGGTGTGGAAATTGAACCTGGGTCCTCTGGAAGAGCAGCCAGTGCTCTTAACTGATAAGCCATCTCTCCAGCCCCCATGATGGGGCGGCCTTATAGGATTATCAGATGAGATCGTGATCACATAGTCAGGGGTCAGCAAAGGACAGATGTGGTTGTGGTGGCTAGTGAAGGAAGGAGCTGGGGAAGAAAGGAGGGAAGGAAGAAAGGGGAGTCTGACCTGATGGAAAAAGAGCTAAATCAAACTTGACGCAGAATTTTACAAATATTAAAAGATGTATTAAAATTTTTTTTCCGGAGCTGAGGACTGAACCCAGGGCCTTGCGCTTGCTAGGCAAGGGCTCTACCACTGAGCTAAATCCCCAACCCCTAAAAATTTTTTAAATGGCTGCTGAGGTGGCTCAGTGAGGAAAGGCATGACCATCAAGCCTGATGACCTGAGTCCAATTCCCAGGATCCACATGGTAGAAAGAGAGGAGAGGACAGAATCCTACAAGTTATAGTCATAGTCTCAACTGTCACAACCATGCTGTGGTACCTGCACACTCCACACATGCAGGAAGACATGCGCGCAGACACTGATGAATAAATATAATTTTTAATGTATCATTTACCTTGGAATAAATAATGCATGCAACTAAATATTTTAAAAATATAAAGAGGTAAAGAGTAGTAGATTGGCCAGGCAGTGGTGGCACACACCTTTGATCTCAGCACTCAGGAGGCAGAGGCAGGGGGAATCTCTGCGAGTTAGAGGTCAACCTGGACTACAAATCAAGTTCCAGGACAGGCAGAGCTGTTACACAGAGAAACCCTGTCTCAAAAAAAAAAAAAAAAAAAAGTGGAAGATTGGTCCCTTCTCATCCCTGTCCCTATCTCCTCATCCCTCTCGCCTAGGGCTACTAATAAATTTCCTGCATATCCTTCCAGAAATTTTTTTTTTTTTTTTTTTTTTTTTTTTTTTGGTTTTTCGAGATATGGTTTCTCTGTGTAGCTTTTGCGCCTTTCCTGGAACTCACTTGGTAGCCCAGGCTGGCCTCGAACTCACAGAGATCCGCCTGCCTCTGCCTCCCGAGTGCTGGGATTAAAGGCGTGTGCCACCACTGCCCGGCCTTCCAGAAATTCTTATTAACATTTTTTTTTAAAAAGCATACTATGTTAAGAGTTGGAAACTTGACGGGCGGTGGTGGCGCACGCCTTTAATCCCAGCACTCGGGAGGAGCCAGGCGGATCTCTGTGAGTTCAAGACCAGCCTGATCTACAGAGTGAGATCCAGGACAGGCACCAAAACTACACAGAGAAACCCTGTCTCGAAAAAAAAAAAAAAAAAGTTGGAAACTCCCAAAATGTCCATCAACAGAGAGTTAGGCAAATAAACCCCAGAAATTTGACAATCTATTTCATGAAATCTCTGTGATTATAGAAAAGAAGATTTCCACTTGAGAAAAGGTTCACAATATACTACATTAAATCTGGGCCAGCCTGGACAACTTAAAGCGATATTGCCTCAAAAAGTAAGAAGTAAAGGAGATATAGGGTTATAATTCTGTGGGAGAATACTCGTCCACCATACGCAAGGCCATGGGTTCTGCCCACCCCCTGTACCAGAAAAACAGAGATACAAACAAAATGCCTTGCTAAGCATGTGCCCGAGTGGTCTGATAATGAAAACAGCTGTCTGTGCGCTCCTATTGGACCTAAGAATAGGGAGTATTTTGACAGTATATTTACTTCTCTGTGGCCTGTGCCAGACAGGGTGAAATCTTTCTAGCTATAATAAGACACGTGGGCTCAGAAAAGCAATATGATTCAGAAGCAGGAATCACAACCCCAGAGCAAAGAGCCCCTCTCAGGGAGTCTCCTGGCTTCATCTTTCATGACGGGTGGCAGGGAGGGCCCAAGCCAAGCCTGGAGATCTGAACTCTGGACTGTGGCTCATTCCCGACATTCTCCACTCGCCAAGCCCACATTGTCCACATTCCCCTTGGTTTAGCTCTCTTGCCTCCTGGACACAGATACTTGAGGTCACATAGCTTCTCCTTCAGCTGCTGGAGGGTCCCAAGGAGAGGATAGAGGGGACGATAATTAACGACCTTATAAAAAATAACCCAAGTATCCCTTCCTATATTCTCCCTTGGCTGTTGAGGTCCATTTCTGAGGGGGAGAATGCAGTTCTTTGAGGGTTTTATTGTGTGTGCATGAGTGTGTGTGAGCGTACATGTGCGTGCGTGTGTGTGTGTGTGTGTGTGTGTGTGTGTGTGTGTGTGTGTGTGTGTGTACAAGCGCCCACAGCATGTGTGAGAAGGTCAAAGGACAGCGTGGGTGAGTCGGATTTCTCTTTCTACTGTGGCAGGGATTAACCTCAGGCTGCCAGTCAGTCAGGTTTGGTGGAAAGCACCATTGCTCAATGAACCATCTTGCTGCCTCCAAAATTCAATCTTGTTTTTAGATGGACTTGGTGAACTTAACCGTTTCAGTCCTAAGGGCACCTGTTTATGGGAGGAACAGGGCTATTTGCTGTCATGCTGTGTGTGTGTAGATATGGGGAGCTAAGAGAGGTGACATGTCCCCAGTGTTCTGCCAAACAAACAGATATCTAATCACCCCAACTGAAAAGAGTCTGCAACCTCAGAAACATATTCCAGTGTGTAACATTCATATTTTTTTTTAAGATTTATTTATTTTTTGTATACAGTGTTCTGTGTGCATGTACACCCGCAGACCAGAAGAGGGCACCAGATCTCATTATAGATGGTTGTGAGCCACCATGTGGTTGCTGGGAATTGAATTCAGGACCTCTGGAAGAACAAGCAGTGCTCTCAACCTCTAAGTCATCTCTCCAGCCCC